TAACATTTGTATCATGACCCATAGGTCTTCAGCCATAATAACACTTTTTATCAAGTTGAATTGAATATCTCTACTTTAGAATTCCTCATTTCATTCCTATGGTAATCTGTATAACTTTTCCAGATCCATAGAAATTATTCTCAAACAATTGAAACATTTTCTATATCAAATGAAACTCTAAATGTCCACGTTGTTCAATAAGAAGAATTGACAATTTGTATCAATAACTTCATAGCAGTTAATGCTAAAATCACACTAGTAATCAAATTTACTCTTTTTCTTATCATTATGAACTTGACACTCTTCAAGTTCTTGAGTTTCCATCTCAATCTAAACAATAATTCATTGCAACATGAAATGATATACAATCCATTTTCGTAAATTTACCTTCAAAGGGTAACTCTATCAAGTCCATAAAACTTAATATCTATTATCAAACAAACTCATAATCACTAATAACTCAACTACAAATATGCTTTAACTTATTAAGCTTACATTCATACCCATACAAGGTATAATTCCCTTGCTTTAAGCTCATATATTCTATGATATTTTCCTCAAATTAAGGAGGAAAAATTGGAATTCAAGAAGTTGGCAAGACCAGAAGAAGTTTTCGCATAAGGCGTGGGCACGACTTATTCATCCTGAGCTATCGCAGATAAAGTCTTCAGTTAAGGCGTGGGCACGCCTTACTAGTCCGTATAACCTAAATTTATGGTTACAAATTTACAAAGGAAAAAGAGTTTAATGATGGCTGGAAGACTCTTTTAAATCATTCTTATGGTGATATTTGTCCACCATATTCTAGTTTGTCCATATAGTAACGAAACTACTTCATCTAATTTCTCCACTTCGAGTAGTGAAAACCCTTTTAACATTATCTTCATATCATTGTCAAATTCACCATTGAACTCGGGTGCTCTTAACCCTTTTAACTCTTTCGATACATTCATACCATAAGTTAAAGAAGCATAAAATTGAAAAACACATCAAAATATCATTCAACATCATGAAAAATATCAGAGCTCTGATACCATTAATTGTAACACCCCCAACCCGTACCCGACCCGGATACAAATATGAGGTGTCACATTGACTTTTCAAAACATTTTACTTGTACAAAATAGTGAATAATTTTAAACATTCACTAAATAAAACTGAATAATTTACATAAATTATCTCAAAGCGGTTTATAAAACTTATTAGCGCATAAACGTTTAAATATTTAGTTACATGCCAGCTACAATCAGTATTACAAAATACATACTATTCAATTCTTTTTTGATCTGATCTTTAGAAAGGAGAAACTAACCTGTCTGCTTAACTTTTATCATTCTGCTTCTTCTCAGAACCTACGTGTGAAACAATCACACGCTAAGTCGTTGACTTGGTGATGCATATAAAACATATAATAGAAACCATAGAATATTTCATATAACAAAATACATGGATGTACATATGCCATCATTATCAACATCAACATCATTAGCATGATATCTATCATTATCATTAACCCATTTAAAACATGCAATCTTGTACTTAACCTTTGTATAATATCATATAATACATTTCACCAAGCAATACACATAATATCGCATATAAATCATGTAATACACTTCATATAACAAAGCATATACATCACATACAATGTATTTATGTTATCTTTTTAATAACTCATGTACTAGTCCATGTATACTTTTGATATATTTTATAAGCCCATGTACATTACTGAGAACTTAAGGTATGCGAGTACTTTGAGGTTTTGCACACATATGTTGTCACCACAGCTCGTATAATAATCAACTGAGTGGCATGTGAAATCTGTGTCCCGAATGACCTATCATCCCGAAGGACTTAATTCGTGTCCCGAATGACCTATCGTCTCGAAGGATGTCATCTGTGTCCCGAAGGACCTATCATCCCGAAGGATGTCATATGTAACCCTCGACTCTTGGCATGCCAACTATACCATTAGCTCTCATATCACATAACATGGGAATTATCATTTATAATAGTTCACATCACTTGTATCATATAAACATGTAATCTAATAACTTATTATCATGTAGCTTGTATAACATTCTTGTATGATCTCATAGATCATTGTGTAACATTCTTGTATGATCTCATAGATCCCTTTTCATTATAGGTTCATATCATATCACATATATCACATGTGCATGTAATCATGTAGATCGTATCATATAGCTTATATCATTTCTCATGTGTTCATATAAACACGTATGTCATATCTTGCTCACATATGAATGTATTCACATATATTAGATTCACGTATCTCATATTTTATTCTCATATGTTCACATCGATCATGTCACATAAAATAACATGTCAGACAATCACACAGCTGATATCATATATTCATGTAGTTTAGTATCACATATCGCATATACATGTAATCATGTAAATCATGGCACATATAATAACATATGACACATATACGCATTTTCATGTACTCATGCACACATAAGCATCATATCAATCACATGCTTGTACTTATGGAATCATGCATTCCAACATGGGAAATAGACTTATCGCAAATCCTACCTAATGATGTATAAAACATCCATGTATAATGTTATGCATGCATCACAAATCAAATAACATTTTAGGAGTCACTTCTTACCATAGTAAATCCGTCACTGGCTCATCGTAAGCCAATGTATTTTCTATAACATAAGTACAAATTAAATTTGCACTCACCTTGACACTTTATATATCCAAAAGATGTTCCTCACTACAATCCACAACAACCCTTTTATACTTGTCTTAGTCACAAATCAATTAGGATATGTACAAATCACAATTTCATAACAATACATATGTTAGTATTGTACTAACATAAACACATCCCCAAAACAAAATCCATAAGATACTTGAAACTCATTTTCTATCAAAATACTTAACACTTAATAATTTCTTTTAATATTGGCATCAACTTTTCCAATTTACACAAAATGGTCATTCACCATTTTATCACTTAAATTTTAAATACCAAAAATTCCAGTACTGAAATTATTACCAAACAAGTACTTTTACTAAGGTACAATTACATTTAAGCACCCCAACTATGTGAATGTTGAACTTAAATCACCAATCTTTTCAAACTTCCAAAATAGTCATATTTCCCATCTAAATGCTCATTTCAATCCCAAAACAGCAATTTCTAGCATAGTTCATCAACTATTAGACAATTATGTAACCATTCACAACTTTTTCCAAAATTACCAAATTGGTCCCCTAACTTTTCAAAAATTACAAAATGGTCCCCAATTTTCTAACTCTTGTAGAATATTTCTTACATTATTTCCAGACTTTATATAATTTTTCCATAATTTTTCTCAGTCAAATACATCATGGTCAAATATTTTATCCATTAAAACTATGATTTCGTGATTTTGCTCAATTTTGATTCGATTCAAGCATGAAATCAACTTTCAATCAACCTTTTAACATCTCCACAATAAAATCCCTAATTAACTCTCATCATAACAAAAAGTTCTACAATTTCCTCTTTTGGCCGAATTTAAAGAATAATTTCTAGAAAGATTGAACATGTTTTAACCATAAATCAAGCTTGAAAATGAATCTACAACCTCTAAATCATCAAGATTCATCATCAATTTCATGAACCCACAATAAAATCCCTAATCAACTCTCATCATAACAAAAAGTTCTACAATTTCCTCTTTTGGTCGAATTTAAAGAATAATTTCTAGAAAGATTGAACATGTTTTAACCATAAATCAAGCTTGAAAATGAATCTACAACCTCTAAATCATCAAGATTCATCATCAATTTCATGAACCCAATCATGAACATAAACCCTTATATTTGGGATCTTTGAAATCCAGGAAGATTAAAAAGAAATATCAGTACCAAATGATAGCGTTTTTCGCGTAGAATAATTTTATATTTCACGGCATAACCCAAAATCCAAAGAAAATTGCTCAAAAATGGAAAACAAATATTTTTCTTAGCTTTTGGAGAAGCTCACGTTCTTTTATGGAGAAGATGAATAAATTTTGATAATTCTTCATATTTGTTTAATATTTAATGAATTAATAATTCATTAAATACTAAATTCCGAATTTACCATTGAAATTAAAATATCTATAATAATTTATCCTTAATGAACTTGATATTTACATTAATACCAAGCCACAACAACCTTATCGTCTTCCAATTGTCAAAGATGAACAAAATATTTTTTCACTTTACCATTTTTCCCTTGCAATTTCCAAAAATTACAATCCTGCCACTTTAATCTAAATGTCCAAATTAAACATGGAATTAAACCATTAAATATTATTTTACAAAATTTTATAAATTTGAAAATAATATATTTATTTCCTTATTTTCAAAATCAATTGTAACTTTTTAAAATTACCATTTTGGTCCATAAACTTTTCAAAGTTTATTCTTTGGTCACCAAACTTTCAAAATCTTATAATTTGGTCACCAAACTAAATCCATTTATAGAATAAATTTCTTTTTGGGAAAAATACCATTTAGTTCTTTAAACTTTTTCCAATTTTCTACTTTGATCCTCAAACTTTCAAAATTTGCATTTTGGTCACTAGCCCGCTTTTTGGGATGTTACACTATGTTTTTGCAAAGGAATTTTGCTTTCGACGGTTATTCTCGATATGAGTCTTGCATGTGTCCCACATGGCTATATCCAATTGTTATATTTCTTATATATTTGCAGGATCACACGTCTTGAACCGATAGTCTTTTTTTGCCTCGTAGAATTTTATAAGTTCGCCCCCTAACATAAAACCGATAGACGTCTTAGCATAACTAGTTTGATTAGTAGGAGGAGGATGAAGTTATTATATCTCTGATCTGTTGATCAGACTCTGGTTTTAATTTTTGGTTTTTCCAAGTTTCTTTGTGTATTAGGAGGATGATACATAAGGTTACTGGTAATACGGCTTGTTTGTTTATTAGTAGGATGAGTTTCTTATATTTCTGTTATTCAAACTCGGGTCCGAGGTCAGTGTATACAAGTGTTTCAGTGTATTTGGAGGGTCATATTTCTGTACCTATGTATGTCTGGTATCTGTAAAAAATGGTGTCTTTTTTTGAAAAATAAAGTTGAGCAATATATAGTCTTATATGTATAGTTTCATTTGAAACTTTATTGACAATTTATTTTAAATTATAATCAGATCTCCATTGACCAATGCTGCAAGCTGTGGCCACAAACGATCCTGTAGTTCAGGATGCTGCAAATCATGCTGTGAAGACCATACAACAGAGATCCAATTCCCTGCTGCCTTACGAACTTAAAGAAATCGTTCATACCAACGCCGAAGTAAGCACAAAACTGCTGTTCCTATTTCCTCATATGGTTGTCGTGTTTTAAATTTTTGGTTGTTCAACGTAATAGGAAGTGAGTACATATGTGATTTTGTTACTTGAACCGCATACCATCTGATGTGGTGTTTGGGAATCTTACGATAGTTGGAGCATATATTCTCCATATCCGGATATGGGTCATCCAAGGACTCCAAATGCATGTGTATTATACTCAAGTCTGTTTCTCGTGTAGAATAGGCTAGTTGTATTTTTTATTGTAAATGTGTCATATGATGTTTTATAATGACCTCTTTTGTTCGTAACTGTTTCATAACCATCTCTGCATGCTTAATTCTTCCACATTCCATGAAGAATGGTTATACTACTCCGACCCTTCATTTTTGTTGACACTTCAAAGATTTTTCAGTTGCATTGAAAAAGTTGGGAAAAATTCACTTTGGTCGGATTCACGTATGTATACGACACTCATACCTGAGCCCGAGTAACATAGAACAATAGTGTCGTTCCAGTTTTGGTCTCCTCACTACTAGCTTCTGGTTCATGGTCATTTAGTATTGTGAAACTCTAGATTCTACTTGAAAAGTTTGTCCACCTTTCAAGGTGTTCAGGATTTCATTCAACCATCCAATCTAGTCGAACGACAAACCGAAACTCTGTTCTTTGCAAAAGCGATTGCAGTTTCATTTGGGTGCTAAGTGTTTGATATGCAAATAGGTATCGGAAGATTTCGCGAAACCCAACATGCTTCTCAAGTTGAAGAGACGAGACAAGGAAGAGAAGTACAAGGTGGAGGCTATGTTGCACTGATACAGATAGATAGACGGGGACGGGAAACGACAATTTTTAAAGGTACAGGAACCGTAAGGGTACGACATATATTATTTTCGACAGAGGAATTGTTTTTGTTTTGGAATTGGGTGATGGGCAGAGTTAGAAGAGGAAGACTTTCTTGGTGTTGCTTTGTTGATTGGTTTCGCTATTGTATTTTCATAATTTGTGAGATAGCTTTTGTAGTCTATTGTTTGTATTGCTTTGCCCTGGTTTTATTTATTCTTTTCCTCTATTTAAGATTAATGAGGTTTTAAATGCGACATTCAATTTGGGTAGGGCTTATTTGATTATACGAACAAAATCATATCGCTTAGCAAAAAAAAAAACTTTTCAATAAAAATAATGTGAAAATATTATAGGAATTTTAAAATCAAGTTTTTAGGGGATTAAATTGAACACTTTTAAATAATTTTAGAAATTACCTTGAAATTTTGAATTAAATATTTTTTAATCAAGTCTTTAGGTCATTAGACATCTACAAATGGATTTTCAAGTTCGTTTGAGTTAAATTCAACCTTCAATTGTATTTTAAAGTTTAAGGACTAATTTATAAAATATCAATTTTATAGATAAATTTAGCTAAAACTCAATTCTTGAGATTTAAATTATAAATTCCAAACATTTTTTATTTCTATTAGAGTCCCAAAATCAACCTCAAGCAAAAATAGGTATCAGGGATCGATTATTTTTCTAAGAGATTAATCCTTTTGAATATGAATCGATTTCCCCCCAAAAGTATCAGTATTTTTTCAAGAAGATTACATAAAACTGTATAAACATACATGTTGAAATACATCATAATCATTCTTCACAACATCAAATCAATGTTTAGAATAATTGTCTAACCATATCGCCGACAATGCATTAGAAAATGTCGTGGCATGCTTTTGCAAGTCATGGAGATGTAATCATGCTTTCATAGCCAACAAACCAAGAATGATTTTACACGTCAAAATGGTAAGAAACTTTCCGATATAAGGTGAAACATGGGAATAACAGTGTACCGAGAATGATTAGGTTACCAAAAAGGAACCATGATGAAGTAGGCAACCATGTGGAAGAGGAAGAATTTTGGAAATTCAGAAGATGCTTGGTGGGAAAAATGGAAACAATTTGTAGTGTTAGTGGTATCGAAGTTCGAATTCAAACGTGGGGATTGAGGAAATCAAAATTCAGAGGATTGATGGTAAGTTGTTACTTATCTTGATTGAGGATGAGGTATTGTACCTACTCTCGAAAGATTTGGAATGGTCTTACCTGAAGGAAATTTTTATGAACGTGAGGTCGTAGAAAAAGTGTTTGAATATATTGATAAGGGTTACCTGGTTGGGAGTCTCAAGGGTACCACTACATTATTGTAATAAGACTACTTGCGACAATGCGTCTTTTTAATTGTCAAATAAAATCTGCCTTAATCTCAATAAAAATTAAATAAAGAATAGTATAGAGAGAGTAAGGGTCAATCCGTAGGGAATATTGAAATTGCCGATGAATTCCTTCTTGCTTTTGTGACTAGGCGTGAACTGCCAAAGAAAATAAAGGGGGTTTTCTCGATTAAAAACAAGGAAAATAAAATTAAAAGGAAGAAGAGTTGAATTAAAATAATAATTAAAAATCCGCCTTCGGCTTTCGTTTTACCTCAAATTCCGTTGATCATCGAAATATATTTTTACTTCGGATTCATGTCGGTTACAGTCTATGGGTCCCAACCCCTACTACTTGTTTTTCTGTCAATTGAATCGGTAGACCATGAAGGTGTTAACATGGAATCTACATGGTATAGGGTCGTTTACCCTTCTCGGAGTCCTTGACTTATATTAAACATGCCTTAGCCTCTTTGAATGATTCTTTTTTTAGGTTTTTGGCATTGACTATATTATACTCTTTTATTCAAAGTCTGACAATCACATCTTCCACTGTCATTTTCTTTCTTTTGTGCTTCAGTTAATTCTTGATGTCAATATTTCAATGATAGTTGCCACCTCGAAGGATTCACTTATGACCATTCTTTTAGCAAAAATTCCATAAATGGTTGGAGTTCCGTCACTTGTTGAATTACTACTAGTTTATAATCAACCATAGTATATATCAAGAACTTGTCAACTAAAAACTTTTAACTTTGACACCTTTGCATTTCTAGTTGTGCTCCAATGCCTCCCACAATTTGATAAACATAGTACATAAGATACAATGAATCTTGTAAACTATTAAAGGTATAGTTCAACATAGGAAGTCAGAGGCTTCCAAGCTTCAACAATATTGAAGGTCATAATATTGTCTACCTATCATTTTCTCTCTCCCTCTTTAACGACTGTAGGATTTTCCTTCAATAACTTATCAAAGTTCATCGTGGTTAGATAGAAAAACATATTTTGCTTACATGTCTTGAAATCATGTCAATAAAATTTCGTCGGCTTCTCATTGTGGTTACTGCCATGGCTGATCGATTCATATTTAGATTTGAATTCTAAGCCAAAATCATCATTCTAGCATCCAAGCTGGGTGAATCAATGAAGTCTCCCATATTCATTGCTCTATTAAAATATGAAACTAGAATTAGTCCTATTTCTAATAAACAAAAAATTAATTCTTTTTTATTTTTGATTTTGTTACCACGCAGAATCAATATTCTGAAACAAAATTAGTAACCAATGTTCACTTTGAGATTAAGCAAACTCATTTAAACGATAGGATAAATCCAAAACAATATTTGTTATTTCGATTTCACCAAAATTTTTAAGTATATTCAATTGAATTAATCGGATATCAAATTATTACTCCAAGTCTTTCAAGATCAATTTAGTCCTTACTAAATGTGTAAAATTGTGATTTGTACTTAAACTATTTTTGAAACAATTTTCACAAAGTATTTTGAACCAAAATCAAGCCTTAAATCAATTTTTCAAAGGCATGCACCGATGCACCAATCCATGCACCAATGCACCAATCCATGCACCGATGCACCAATCCATGCATCGATGCATCAATTAATTTCTTAAACATCGAATGCATTTTATGCATCGATGCACATACCATGCATCAATGCACTCAGTGCATTTGATGCATCGATGCACAAGACCATGCATCGATGCACTCAAGCTTTTTCAAAACATCGATCGATGCACTGAGAGTCCAACGGTCAAAATATTTGAATTTTACACCGATGCACCTAGGGTATGTATCGATGCATGAGATGCTCCCAACCACTAATATTAATTGTTTTCACATTTAAACGGCTCTATTAACTTCACTAATCATCCTCAACGTTCAGAATCAATTGAAGGTGTATTTAAACAAGCTTAGAAGCCATTGATCAAAAACAAGAAACAACAAGCAACTAGAATATAATTGAAGGATCAAACTCATTGTTTGAGCAATTCAAGACTATTTTTCATTCAATATTCATTTTGCTTTCAAGAACACTTCTTGTACTCAATTATATTCATTTTTGAGTGTTCTTTTCTTTGTTCTAGAATTGTGCAAACAATCTACCTTGTGCGGATTTCCTTGTAAGTTTGCAAATTTGTAATCTTCTCTTTGAGAAAGAGTGTTCTCAAGAATTGGGGTATATTCTTGAGGGTTTTGTAAGGTTATCTCTTTGGCCTTAAAAGAAAGAAAAAATTAGTAAATTTGTTGGAAAATCCTTAGGGTGGATAGCTAAGGTAGTGGACGTAGACTTTGGTTGATAAAGTCGAACCACTGTAAATCGCTGTGCAATTACTTTCAATTTTCTGCAAAAGCTTACACCAAAATTTTTATTGCCAATTCACCTCCCTCTTGGCTGATTTCGTCAATCGATTAACTCAACAATTGGTATCAGAGCCTCACTCATTTGAAGGTTTAATCACCTCTTGAGTCGATTCGGGAAGAGTTACATCGATTATCAAGTCATCAATGGCCTCCGCTTTAAATTACGACTCCGATCTCGATTCGATGCCCGTCAACAAGCCTCATTTCTTCAATGGAGCTAACTATGCCTATTGGAAAAATAGGATGATGTACTTTATTCAAGCAAGTCACATGGAGCATGAAATGCCGTAGAATAAGGATACATCAAGCCTCTCACTCATCCAAGGTTGTGGAGTGAATGAGAGACAAGAATGTTCCAGCTCAACTCCAAAGCCATCCATATCATATTTTGTGCTCTTGGACCAGATGAATATAGAAGAGTTTCATCCTGTACAACCGCCAAAGAAATATGAGACAAACTTCAAGTCACTCATGAAGGTACCGATGAGGTAAAGAAATATAAAATTAGTATTCTAACGCATAGCTATGAAAATTTCAGGATGAAACCAAATGAAGATATCAAAGCTATGATGGATAGATTTTCAACGATTGTCAATGGTCTCAAATCATATGGAGAGATCATTTCAAATGAAAAGCTTGTGAGGAAGTTAGTCTACTCTCTTCCAAAATCGTGGCAATCAAAGAAGACGACAATCATCAAATCTAAGGACCTAACGTCCTTAACTCTTGAAGAACTAATATGTTCCCTCCTCACTCATGAAATGATGCTTGAAGATGAGGTGGACCTCGATAAGATTGACGAGACACCAAAGGAGAAGGAGAAGAAGAAAAACATATTGGAGTTGCTCTCAAATCCACAAAAGATGAGAGTGATTCGAATGAAGATAATGATGACGAGGAAATGACATTGTTTGCCAAACGGTTCAGAAAAATGATGAGACCTTACCGAGGAAGAAAATTCAAACGAAATGAAGGCCTCAAAAATGAACCAAAAGAGAAGGACCCGATCATTTTCTATGAATGCAAAAAGCCGGGGCATGTCAAATATGATTGCCCACAGTTGAAGAGAAATGGTCAACCAAATAATAAGCACAAGGCTCATGTGGCTACATGGAGCGATGAAGAAGGTTCCGATGAAGAGGAACAAGAAGTAGCAAACTTGTGCTTGATTGCATTCGGGGAAGATTCTAAGGTAACCTCTAACTCATCTG